TTTTGTGTTAAATATTTAACACTTTTATGTGTAAATTTAACATTTATTGTGTTAAATTTAACATAAAAATTTTTTACACAAAATTTTTTGACGCAATGACGCAAAATTTTTTACTGTGCAGTCCTCAGACTGTAAAATCGAAAAAATTACCAGTCATACAAAAGATAATTTTTTTTTTTTTAATAATAAAATCCCTTGGGGAGTTTAAGACGTCAATTATTTATTTATAAATAATTTAAAGAATGAAATGAAAATTTTCCGCCTTATTTATTTGTTTTATTAAAAAATTTTTTTATTTAATTTATTCTGGTAATATTTATTTATTTTTCTTATAGATGTGAATTTCATTTATGTGTCAAATAATAATCCATATAATTAATAGAGCAAAGAAAATTTTATTACGGACATATTTTTATTATAAAATGGATTTCTATAGTTAAATTTGAAAATTGATTTCATCAGAAAGAAAATTATTGAATTTTTGAATACTCAAAAGATTTCAAATCTATGGATAAAAGAAAATCTAAAAAAAAAATCCTGATGTTAAAGAAGATTATTTATCATTGTAATAAGAGTGATAATACATTATCTCATGTCCGCTATTTTATTTAATAATTTTTGTTAATAATAACAATTTTTTCACGTTTATTGTTGACATTTCTCTCTACCTCTACCTGTGCATTCTATTCACACTCATAAAGTTTTTAATAATTCAGGTTTTTTTTTTATCAAGAGTAATAAGCTTGAAAAGTATCTCCACTACCACGTACAGAATTATGCAGTGGAAACTCCCACGCGAATTAATATCAATGTACAACAATAAAAAATCGTCAAGATGAATATCATAACAAGTAATATGAAAATAAATTTTCATTCCGAACAGATTTGTTTTTATGGCAGGATGTAATAGTGGTTCGAGGGGTTCGAGTTTTCATGTTATTGTTATTATGTACAAGCCCGACGTAAGAATAAAAAATATATTTATAAAGTGGGACGTTTACATTGTATTGCTTAGTGCCAAAAATCTCTGTGAATTTTCGCAATAATTCTCTCTGGTACTTGATGGGGTTCTAAGCTGCTTTAGTTAAGTTTAAACTTTTAAAGAAGCTTTTGCTTTTACTTTTACCAACGATTGGAATACATATTTACAGTCCGGAAAATATAAATAAATAAATATTTCTAAATTTGAAAGAAATAAAATACATTTAAGATCGACTTTTTATATATAGCGATATAAATCAGAACTATAAAAGTTGTCGCTATTTGTGACAACTTAAAATATTTGTGTCATGTCTCGATACTTACGACAGTTGAAATTATTGTTTATGTTTACAATGTCTCAAGCATTTCAGCGATATTTTGAATCGCTTGCGTACTTCAGTAATCCGCAGAGAAATATTTTTACGCTCAATGTAATATTGTTATGTTGATAAAAACATTGACGCATACAGCGATAAGATATTCAAAAACATACGTCATTTTATTTTTTGTATGACGTTATTTTTATGACGAAATTTTTTGATTAAATAGTTTAGAATTTTTTGTTTCCTTTAATTTAAAACAAAAAAATCTGTTAAAAATATAATATTTAAGTAATTTTGAACATCTTACGTACTATTGAAGATTTTTACTCCAAATTTTTTTTTACGTACTCTTGAAATAGTAATAAATAAATTATAAAAAACTTTAAGTTCTATCTTTTCTTTGGTCGTCAAAAGAATATTCCATATTTTCAAT